TTTTTTCTGTGTTTTCTTTGGTCTGTCTCTCAATCCTTTGCAGATACCTACATATAATTCTTTTGAATTCCTTATCAGAGAGTTCCAATGCTACTTCCTCCTCAGGGATGTGTTCTGGATCTGTATCTTGTTCCCTTTTTTCTACCACTTTATCCTGCTTCTTTGTGTGGACTGTGATGGTCTGTTATCTCCGAGATATCGTGGCATTGTTGAATTAAGATCTCTGTTAACTGTTTGCGAAGAGCAGCCAAGGGTGATTCGGGCTCTTCTTGGTGGTTTTTTAATCGTTGGCCCATTGATGCAGAAGGAGGTGGTGGATGGGTCTTGGTCATTAAGTGAAGTTGCAGGAGATATGGGTGTAGTTGTGTTTTATGGGGACTGTTGCTGTCTCCCACTCAATTAGACAAAAATTACAACTGAATAACCATCAAATAACTAAATGCACATGGACAAAAAATACACCAGGAACAGGAACCAAAAAAAGAAAAAGGGAAAAAGAAGAAGAAAAAAAACAAGAAAACCTGCAATATCTGGGTATAGTGCAGTAAGAGAAAAAAGGTAGAAAAGGAGAATAATGAAGAAAAAAAATGGGAAAAATGTGAAAAGAAAAACAGGCAACAGGGTTAACCTCAAGAAAAAAAAGAAAATATTTGCCACCATGAACAGGGAAAAGAAAAATAGCTGAAAACTAGGACCTGGAACAGGAAGACTAAAGTATAATAATAGTAAAAAGGACAAATGTATTAATAATAATAGTAGTTATAAAACAGACAAAAACAAGCGAACTAAAAACCAGAAAAAAGAAAGAGAAAAAAAAAAAAGAAAGAAAATAATCGAGGCGGGTAGGGCAGGGCATCCAGGCGCTGCCTGAGCACACAGACTGGGATGGAGTTCCTGCGGGCCCAGAAGGTGGGTGGGAGTGGGGGATGGCTGCACCTCCGTTCACTAAGGAGTATGAAGTGTAAGGGTAACAAGGGGAATGTTGCACCTTTTCAGTCATCCAGGTACGGAGTGTCCTTGGGGTTACTGGCAAGCAGAACCTGTTCTTAAGCCCCTGGAACCTTGGAGAGTGCTGTCTCTTCAAATATCCAAAATGGTCAAGCTGCTCGTAAACATTCAAAATGGCGGCACCCTCCCGACAGGCAAAAGTCCACAGCTCAGCCCACTTTTCTCTCCACTGATGCTTTGCATTTTATTCTTCAGCCACCAGAGCAGTCCTCTGTGCAGTCCCTGGCTAGCAGGCTGATTTTTAAGTTAATTCTTAGGTCCTACCACCACCAGGCACTCACCAAGCTGTCTGTGCCATGCCATCAGGCTTGCTCAGGATTGCTCCCAGACAGCAGCTCCATATGTCTCCTTTTTTGGTATTTTCATGCAAATTCTTCTGCTGATTGGGGTTTAGTCCACTTTTATATCCTTGCCTTCAAGGCTCAGGGGTCCGAGATTATCTTCTGTGTCTGTGTTAATTGGTTCCCCTTTTCTTTGTTGAAGAGGGTCTGTGCAGTCTTTCTCTCTATTCTTCCATCTTACCAGAAGTCCATTCCATTATATTTCAAGAGCAGATGCCCCATCAGAAAATCAACCAACATAAGGCACACACCTCTTATGTCTATTGGGGGTGTACTAGACTCTCAATCTTTCCTGTTTTTAAATAATCATGAAGCCATTTACAAAATCCCCATTCTAGAAACTGGATTTTTTTTTTAAATTTCCACATACCACATGTATCAACCTCTAAATTGCTAGCAGAAATATAATACCAGGGGTTGGCAAACTACAGCCTAAGGGCCACATCTGGCCCACCACTGGTTTTTTATAGATAAAAGTTTTATTGGCAGACAGTCACTGCCAATAATTATGTATTGTCTGTGTCTGCTCTCATGATATACAACAGCAGAGTTGAGTAGCTGCAACTATGTAACTCACAAAGCTGCAAATGTTTACTATCATCAGACTCTTTATAGAAAAAGTTTGTTGACCTTACTGTAGACTATCAATAGCTTCAGCTAACTGTCCACAATTTCTCTCACATTACAACACAATAAAAGCATGTAATGACCTTACCCAAGGGATTCAGACACAAACCAATGGAAGAGTCAAAGCACATGAAAACACGTGTGCCCAATAGGGAAGCCACCCGCCCAATCCTACTGTGTAGTGTCAGGCCCTGGTGCCTGGTCACGGCCCCCTACCCTGGCCAGCCAGGGCCTCTAGAGAGAGACAGAGCCAGATGAGGGCATGGTGGGCACACAGAGGTGTGCTACTCACCTGTGGCCTGACAGAAGAGTTGGAAGGTCCCCAGGGCATGCACATGCTGTGCCTGGTCACTTAGGAAGGGTGGCAGCAAGGTGACCGCGGTGGTCTCAGAGCTAGAGCCCAAGGATGGCCAGGGGCTCCGGGTAGAAGATGATGATTCAGGACCCAAACAGGACAGGGAGGAGGAGCCAGAAGGAGGGAAGGGTTTAGGAGATGAGGCTGTGAGATAGAAGAGGATAGAAAAGAGAGAGGGCACTGAGGAAATGTCATCAGGAATGCATCACATGCTGAAGAAGGTAAAACTCCACCAGGATATGGACACAGGTGACAAGAAAAGAAAGTGACACCAGGGGCTATCCCAGGCCCACCCTCTGTCCCCACCCCCAGGGAGGGCCATGCAGTGAAACAGGAGCAGAGGCCACAGAAACAGCCCACCCACGGCACACACCTGGCTTCAATACCATGCAGAGAAATGGCAGCCTGACGAGCTCAGCTTAACAAAGTCTCGCCCAAATCAAGGATAAATGTTTCTTATTTATTTGGTTACTTTTCATATTTATACAAGTCAAAGTAGAAAAATAAAAACAAAGTAAATCTTATAAAACACAAATGTTTACACCAAAATGGTCCAATCATATATGATGGAAGATGAGGTTGTCTACACAGGCACACAAAATCCAGAGTTTATTGCTCTTGGCCATGGAAGCAAGTCTCCTCTGATGGTATTTACAAAAGTTAGGGAGAGCAAAGTGTAACATAAACAAATGGTGACGTCGTACCACCCACATACACCTTTCACCACAAGAGGCAGATTTGGCCTGGCGGACTGTCTATGCAGGGTGTTCACCAGGTCCACTGCAGCAGCTGCCCGCACACCACTGCCCAGGCCATTTCTAGTTGTGGAGGAGCTCAGGTAGGGCAAGTGGTAAATTTGGACACGGTATGGGTGTGAGATCAAAGCAAAGGAAAAAGGAGATGTTTAGAGAGCCAAAGACGTCCTGGCTAGTGCTCTGTTTGTCTGGACAGGAAGTTTCAGCCAGGGGCCATCTGCATTTGATTGTTAACATGCTCGTCCAGGGTAGAACCCAGCCTCAAGATGCCTGGGTATCACCTGAAGCCCTGAGGCCACCGTCCCTGCTCAAAATCCCAAATCCAGTTGTATGGATGTGTCGCAGTCCTCCGCTGCTTTCTCATCTTCAGAAGGTGAAGGTTTTTAAAAGAAAAACAAAAGGTACAGAAAGAAAACCTTTCTGAAAGCAACATTTCCCTCAAAGAATGAAGGGGGGAAAAAAAGAAAAAGTAAGTGTGCTCAAGAGACAGTTTTGGGTTTGTTTGCATTTCCATTTTTAAAAGCAGAAAGAACACATTTAGCAAAAAAGTAAGTTCATCCCTGAGAATCAACAGCAACTTAAGCCATGTTTTATCCCAATATATAATAAGATCTAGAAGATGTATCTTCTTCATCTGCTTCAGTAACCAAAAAAAAAAAAAAAAAACAACCACCTAAAACACCAACACAATGAAAGCAAAATACTGTGAAAAAATAAAGTGGAAGAAAAGGTTCATCCCAATCAACAGGCTGTAAGTTACCAAACTGATAAACTAAAATGTCATTTCCAATCTGGAATTAAATTACTTGTTAGTGGCTGTGATGAGGAGGGGAAGCTGAAGGTACAACTTTTCTTAGGCCAACAGACCTGGTTGAGCCTGTGTCTCTCCCAGTGAAAACAAGGGCTCAGGTCAACTGGCAATTTGTCTTCCAGGTATATTTTCAAGCACTCTGACTGGGTAGGGCACGCATGAACAGGATGTGCTGCCTGCCACTTTCCAAAAGGACAAAGAATAACAAAGTCATAAGCTCAACCAAACAGACAAGAGAACAGGACTGGGAACTGTGCCCGAGGCAGCTCCCCTATGCAGGGATTGGGGTGGGGAGTTGGGGACAGACAGGCTTGCTACCAGGCAGAGCACAACAGGCACCAATATGCAGATGCCCTCACAACCTGATGTGCCTGTACTCAGCCAGCTGCCAGGAGGACCTTGAGGAGGACAGGCAGCCTGCCTCAGTCCCCATCAGCATCTGAGTCGGCGTACTTCAGCTCACACTTTACGTCAAAGGGCTTGTCCTTGGCGGGAAGGTCACTGATCCTCTGTGAGTCCTCCCGGTCGGTGGGGAGCTTGCTGGTGATGGTGTCCTGCTCTGTCTCATAGCCTGTGTCTAGAGCCGCTTTGGGCTGCTCCCCATTTTGCTGAGAAAAGCTTCCCTGCTCTACCAATGTTTCCTTCACATTCTGCTCACAATCGGAAAAGTCAGATTTGGGCTTTTTCTTCCCAAGTAACATAATGGAGCGGAATTTTAGACACTGTCCAGGCAGGTAGCCTTTGTAACAGTTGTAGGAAAAGAGACAGAGGAACAGTACGAAGAAGAAAAGGAACAGAAACATGAGGAGGCGATTGTCGCTAGACTTGAGATACATGGTCTTCTCGGAGTGGATCTGTGGGATCGTGTTGATGACAATCTTTGGCTGGCATGGTGTGCTTGTGGGCACAAGGTGGGAGGGTGGGGTCATCACGGCACCAAGTGTAGTTATCTGCCCAGCCGATGTCTGGGGAGAAGCCCCCAGAGTGGCCTCCGTCAACAATCTGGGAGCAATTCTACTACCTTCTGTCTGAATAGCAAGCAGGGTGGGAGCCACTGGAGTGTGTGAGACCAACTTCACTTCTAAAGCGTGCTTAGTGAGCACCTGAGAGACTGTCTTATTCTTCACTGTTTCCTCTGATAGACACTGGTACACTCCACTGTCCCCTTCAGACAAGTTGAAGATGAGCAGGTTTTTGCTGCCCAACAGAATGTACTTGGGGCTGTCAGTCTTTAACACGCCATTCTGGAACTTCCACACCACTCGAGCCAAGTTGGACTTCTGGGAACATTTGAGCTCTGCTGTGCCACCATGCTTGGAAAAATGCTGCCAGTAACTTTCCTTAACTCTGTCTGGAACATCAAAATAAATGTGCACAGCATCAACAACCTGCCCATTAGTTAACTTCTTCAAAAGCACGTTAACATGCATAAAACAACACAAGAGTTCTACCACTGGAGCAACATGGAATCTTCCAGAGCAACTAAGGAGACAAAGACATGCATGATTGAAAAGCAAAGATGAACCCAGCTGGCAGTCCATGCATGAAAAGAAATATGAGGCAACTCTGAGCAGCAGAAACTCCACTTCTCACCCTTGTTTCTGCTCATGTCTCCTACAGGTATGAACGTTTCAACATACATTAGCATCTTCTTCCTAAACTTTTCCTAATCTGATGACAGCTGTCTCATAAGGGACCACAGGGTACGTTACCAGTGGGCAAAGATGCCTTCACGAATTGTTGGGAAGATAATGTCAAGGATGGAAGATTCCTAACCTGCTTCCACCCAGCATCCTGGGACTACTCCATTAGGAATGCCACCTTGGCATTTTGGCTTGTTGTCAGCTGCCACTAAGTCAACTCACAACTCATGGCAACCTCATACACAGTGGATCCAACTGCTGCCCAGTCCTCCACCATTCCCATAATCAGCTGTGGACTGAAGCCTTATGATCCACAGGGTTTTCACTGCCTGATTTTCTGACGTAGGTCATCAAGCCTTTCTTCCCAGTCCATCTTAGCCTGGAAGCTCTGCTGAAACCTGTTCAGCATCATAGCAAAACAAATGCCTTCACTGGAGGATGGGTGGTGGCTGCACATGAGGTACACTGGTTGGGAATTGAAGCCGAGTCTCTCACAAGGAAGGTGAGAATTCTACCACTGAACCACCATTGCTCTTGAGGACTACTTACTATGGGCACCTTTCTTCTTCACAATAGGTTTAGATTTTATTTCATGAGCCCCAAGCTAGGCAGGTTAGAAAAGAGTGATGTACCTCAAAAGCAGATGCTACAGTTTGTACAGAGAGTGTAAACAAGTCCACTCTCAATTTTCCAAGCATTGTTTTCTGCACTAAAAGGGACAAAGAAGTGCCATGGCTTCTGCTACAAGGTACTTGACCTTGGTGCTTGTGCTGAGCAGAGGCAGAGAAATAAATGAAAATGTACAAAAACACGACGAAATGAAAGCACTATGAAATGGGGTTTAGGTCCTCATCATTTCTCAAGGAGATGTAGTAATAATGAAGGACTCACCAGGGCAAGCTGACACGTCCCCACTCATGTCCTGAATCAAACCCCTGCAAAACAACCAGGCAGAGATTACCAACATGCTTGTGCTTTTTGCTGGGGGAATGCGGGAAACATCAGCCACATGGATACAGTCCATTGGTGGTTACCTGCCAGGGGCATGCTCCTGGTGCACAGTGACGCAGGCAGCAGCATGTGGGCTCCAGGCACAGTAGGGGTCCCGTGCTAATACGCAGTCTACACACGTGCTGTGCTTCCCACAGAATGCCACAGGGGCCTGGACTATGCCTGAGTTAGAGCCAGCATAGACAAACCTTTTGCCCTGTGGATATGAAAGAAAGATGAGAACAGGCACTTGGGGAAAGGCATATGACCAAAAAACATTATCAATGTAACAGACTACATTGTTTGCTTATTTACTAAGGTCATAGAAAATGATGACAAAGCACCTTCAAGCTACCCATGAAGGAGGAAAGTCTATGTAATTCAGAACTGTGAAGCCTGTTGGTGGTGGTGTCTGTTAGCTGAAAGTCTGGAGGTCTGACTCCACTCAGAGGTGCTTTGGAAGAGAGTTCTGATAATCTACTTCTAAAAAATCAGTCCTTGCAAATCCTGTGAATACAGTTCTCCTCTGACATAAGTGGGGTCACCAGGACTCAGAGTTCACTCTACAGTAAGTTGTTCCTACTACCAGATTCCTTCTTGTTGTTGTTGCTATGTGCTGTCGAGTCAGACCCAACTCATAGCGACCCCTCCTTGGGTTTCCAAGGTGGTGTCACTGCCGAAGTAGATTGCCCAACCTTCCTTCTGAGGAGTGTCTGGTGGGTTTGAACCGCCAGCCTTCTGATTAGCAGTCAAGTGCCTTAGGCACTACACCACCAGAGCTCCTACCAGATTCCTTAGTCTTGTGAAATACCTCGTTTGGGATGTTACACATTTCAGACCAGATTCCACTATTAGGTAAGAAAATGATGCAAGTCCTCCAGCACACCTAGCACAGGTAGAAAGACCTACTTGTTTTACCAGTATGAGGAAGCTCACAATGTATTTTCTAACCAGAAAAAGAAAATACCACTTTCCCTTCTGAGTACTTGTAGTTACAACAGTCTTATTCCTTATCAAAGTACAACTGGTGTTACAAGGAGCACAAGTTCCCAATTCGTACTCTGTTGCAAAAAATAACATACTGATTTTCCCTGGTTCTCAGTGGCCACTCAACTCAGACTTATTGAGCTTCTTCTCTTACTAAATCCTGATTGAGTGACAGGTCAATCTAAAACAACGAAATATGAAAGAATGGCAAGCTCTGTAGAGCTTTAAATTTAGTCAGCCATTTGACTTTTGGTCTATCCTTTGCCTGTGTGTGTCTTAAAAACATGTTAGTTAACATCAAAAGATCCCCACATTCATGAACAAATGAGTATAAGTCATATGAAATACTGTCTTATCTTCAAAGCATATATTTTCAATTAACTTCAGAGTCAGGCTTAAGATCAAAGACCTTAGTGCTAACCCAGACATGATGGTTGCAACATATCAAAGGCCCACAAGGTTGCAACCCCCCACCCCCTGGGTGAAGCACCAATGAGGAACTCAGGCACATGGCACGCAGGAGAAAGGAACTAACTCCCCCTTTGTTAGTGGATCAGAAATGTGATGATAACCAAGAGCAGAAAGACCCTAGCCTTGTTTTAGCCTGGACACATTTTCGTATAAATGGGAAAATGAAGCCAGGTGTTGGTAATTCAAAAGAGGGATGAGGATGAGTCCTCAGACCATGTTTTGGGGAATCACATGGCTTGTGGAAGGTGTGGAAACATGATTTCCTGGGTCAAAGGCTGAGTTGGTCTGCTTCAAAGGTCCAGCTGGGCCCTGGAGAGGGAGACAGCACAAGGGCCATAGACATTTGATACAGAGTAGAACATGGGCCTGGATTACCCATGGGGACTCCTTCCCGAGAATACCCACCAGTGAGACACAAGGGTGGGTGTAAATGTGCATGCGGAGAAGGCCCACCCCAGGATGAGCCCCAAGCCTCCTGCTCTGCAGGCCACCCAAACCCTTGTGCCCACTTCTCACTCCAAGGCTACTAAAGACCATAGAGAACAGAGAGAATGAAAACACAGGGCCTCCCAGGACCCCCATGCAGAACAAATGGGAGCAAGGGAAAATGACCATAACAGCCCTCAGTGAGAAGTGTTGCTAGACAGGTCTATTGTGGGAGGCTAGAATTAGTGGGAGAGGCATAGTGAGAAATAGGGTATTTACACAGCCTCAACATATTTTCCTCAAATAACTAATAACAACTGTGGTGGCTTCTGAAAACCCTATGGAGCACAGTTCTACTCTGACACACATGGGGCTGACATGAGTTGGAATCACTTGGTAATAACTGGTTTTGTAGTACTGGGTGGTATGAATGGTTGCTGCACTCAGCTGCTAACTGAAAGGTTGGTGTTTCAAGTCCACCCATAAGCTCCTCAGAAGAAATTCCTGGTGTACCAATTCCAGAAAACTAGCCACTAAAAACCCTGTGGAGCACAGTTCTACTATGACACACATGAAGCCACCATGGGTCAGAATGCACTGGTACACTTCCCTCCACTAGGTGGAGTGTGGGCTCAACAAAGTGCCTCATTTCTAACAAACGAGGTATAGAACAAGAAATACTGGCTTTAAGCCAAATGGTCAGGCCCCTGTTCCTCTTTGTGCTGCCCAGAGCCAGGGAAGAACACTTCACTGTACCTGAACCCACCCCACTGACCAGTGTTAGGAGCTAACTGTGGCAAGGAACTCTCTGAAGGGCTGAAGCCATGACCACCCTTGAAAGTGGCTATTCAGGAACATTTTAGGCCAAACTAGAAGGCCTCACACCAAAGGAGCATGGGGCACCACAGGACAATGGAGAGCAAGGTATTCAGAAGTGGGAGGTGCATGTGGAACAGGCAGGGGTCTAGGGTGGGCCACGGGCAGAAAGAAGCAACATGTGGCCACTCTTCCAAATTCTATGCTGACCTGGTACTGTCAAACCCTCAGCCTGTCAGCCTAGCAAGTCACAGTGTGAGGTCTACCCAAGGTCATGCTGGTGTTGTGACTTGAAGTAAGAGCTCTGGCCCACAGTCACAGGGTCAGAAGGGCAGGCAGGACCATTGCCTGGGTTAGCTGCCTCATTTAGCAAGCCCTCCACAGGTACCGTCTTGTGGAGGGACAGATTGGCTCTACTTGGCACAATACCACAATACCACAAGCAGGCACAATACACCACCCTGCTTGTACCCCCAGAACCTATCCTTTTAGACATAGTAATGCACTGTACCCTGTGCTCAGCACTTCATAAGGGTTATCTCATTTAATCCTCAGGACAACCCAGTGAAGAGGCACTCTTTTTTTTAATTGTATGATCCCATTTATATGAAATATTCAGAACAGGCAAATAAAGACCAGAGGTTATTAGTGGTTACTAGGGGCAGGTGAGAGGGGGAAGTGGGAGGTATTGCTTAAGGGGTACTGAGTTTCTGTTAAAGATGAAGAAAATTGGAAATGAGTATTAGTGATGATTATACAACATGGTATATGTAACCAGTGTCACTAAATGGGACACGCAAAAATGCTTGAAATGGCAAATGTCTTGTTATACATATTTCACCACAATAAAAATTTATAGAAGAGTTGTCGCCATTCTGTTTCAATTGTTAAGTCAAACGAAGAGGCACTTTTACCCCATTACACAGGTAGGCAGATTGAGGTCATATGCAGTGGTGCTGCCATTTGGACCTGGCAGCCTGTATTTGTGCCTGCTTACCTCTCATCTTTAACACAGGGGCAGCACCTATTTCCCAAGGCCACAGCAGATATTGAGGGAAATGGCCTATGACAGGAGTTGGCAAACTATGGCTAGTGGGCCAAACCCAGCCCCTTCTCCATTTTAGACAGTCCACAAGCAAAGAATGGGTTATAGATTTTTTTTAATAATTGGGAAAAAAATCAAAAACAGTAATATTTTGTGACACAAACAATTACATGAAACATAAAGTGCAGGATCCATCAATAAGCTTTTACTTGTACGCAGCCATGCTCACTCGTTTGTTTACAGACTGCTTTTGGGCTGCAATGGCTGAGCTGAGTTGTTGTGACCAAGACTGCATGGTCCACAAAGTTGATAGTATTTACTATCCAGCCCTTTATAGAAAAATTTTGCCAACTTTGATGTTGGAGAGAACATCCTGTAAACCAAAAAGAGCTTTACAGATACTATGTAGTATCATTATTGTTACAGATTTTCTGAGTTTGGCCAGTAAGTGGCATCAACATCACAGCCCACAGATGCAACCTACAATCTCACCAAGTTGGTGCACAAGAAAGTATCTTCACAGGACAGTGCACACCTGGCAACAGCACTGTCTATCTGCTTCAACCATGCAAGGATGTACTGGAAATTTTTAATAGAACGCTTCATCTCTCCAGGTTTGTTCTCCATTGTCCCAAACCTCAAAGCACATGGCTCACAGAACTATTATTTTAAGCACCTAAATGTCGGCTCACTTTGCACATAAAAGAACCAGAGCCTAAAGGGATGCCCCAGGTCCTACCGCCAGGGACAGAGCTGGGCCCAGTGCCCCCCCAGGAATCAGTAACTCTCAGATCACCAAGACGATGGGCACCAGGGGCCAGTTTCACACTGTAACTTTACCTTCTTTGAAGACAGCAGGAGGGTCTGCACCGGCTCAAAATCCTGGAATAGCTGTGTTTCCTCAATGATATGCACATTGTTTTCCAGGCTGATGGCTTTGTGTAGGGCACCCCTGTCTGCAACATCAGGGGCCACAGGTTAGTGACAGAGCCCAGGAAGGGGAGTAAAGATGGTTCAGCTATTGCTGACAATAGCAGACAACGCAGTCCCCTTCGATCTTAACACCCCCAAAAAAGATATTCAAATAAAGATGATGTTTTACAATCAGTTGGATTCCTCTACATCAGCAAAGAGATTGCTGAAAAAGAAATAAGGAAATCAATACCATTTATAATAGTTACCCAAAACATAAAATACTTGGGAATAAATCTTACCAGGGACACAAAAGACCTATACAAAGAAAGCTACAAAGCACTATTTCAAGAAACCGTAAGAGATCTACATAAATGGAAGAACATACCATGTTCATGGACAGGAAGACTGAACACTGTGAAAATGTCAATTCTACCCAAAGCAATCCATACATTCAATGCAATCCCAACTCAGGTCCCATCAACATTCTTTAAGGATATGGAAAAACCAAACACTAACTTTATACAGGAAGGAAAGAAAACTCAAACTCAGACAAGCAAAGCACTATTGAAGAAGAAAAACAAAGTAGGAGGTCTCACACTCCCAGAACTCATTTTACAGCCACAGTAGTGAAAACAGCCTGGTACTGGTACGATGTCAGACACATAGACTAGAGGAATAGAATTGAGAACCCAGAAATAGATGTATTGACCTATGGCTCGCTGATCTTTGACAAAGGGCCCAAATCCATTAAATGGGGAAGAGACTGTTTAACAAATGGTGCTGGCAAAACTGGATATCCATTTGCAGAAAAACAAGATCTGTACCTCACACCATACACAAAAACTAACTCCAGATGGATCAAAAACTTACATGTGAAACCTAAAACTATACAGTTCCTCAAGGAAAATCTAGGGGCAAATTTAGGGGCCCTACTATAATGGCATAAATAAGACTATCAAGCATAACCCAAAATGTACAAACAGCAGAAGAAAAACTGGATGAATGAGACCTTCTAAAAAGTAAATTTTCATGTGCATCAAAAGACTTCTCCAAAAGAGTAAAAAGAGAGAACCTACAGATTGGAGAAAATATTTGGCAATGATATATCAGATAAGGGACTTATCACTAAAATTTATAGAAAACTGTAACACCTCAACAACAAAAAGACATATAATCCAATTAAAAATGCACAGAAGACATGAACAGACACTTCACCAAAAAGTATATTCAGGCAGCCAATAAACACATGAAGAAATGTTCACAATCATTAGCCATTACAGAGATGTAACTCAAAACAATGAGATACTATCTTGTTCCAGCATTAGTAGCAAAGTTCAACAAGACAGAAAATAACAAATGCTGGTGAGGATGTGGAGAGACTCTCATACACTGCTGATGGGACTGTCGAATGGTACAACGACTATGGAAAGCAGTACGGCGATTCCTTAAAAAGTTGGAATCAGAAATACCATTTGACCCAGCAATTCCATTACCAAACAAACAAACAAAAAAACTCAGTGCTGTCGAGTTGGTTGCTACTCTTGGTGTCCCCTCCTTGGGTTTCCAAGGCAGTATCTCTAAAGAAGTAGACTGTCCAGTTTTCCTTCCAAAGAGTGGCTGGGAATACATCCTAAAGGAGTGACAGCCAGGACGACAACAGGTATACATACACCCATGCTCATCCCGGCACTATTTACAATAGCAAAAAGATGGAAGCAACCTAGGTGCACATCAATAGAATGGATAACCAAACTATGGTACATACATACAATGGAATACTATGCAACTGCAAAGAATAATGTAGAATCTGCGAAATACTGCATATAATGTGGATGACCTTGGAGAACATTATGTTGAGTGCAATAAGTCAATCACAGAAGGACAAATATTGTGAAAAGTCAAGGAAAGGTTTATACATGGAACAAAACTTTTTTGTTGGTTACCAGGAGTGGGAGGGGAGGGGAGGAAACACTGCTAGATAGGTAGAGACAAGTACTGATTTGGGTGAAGGGAAGGGCAATGCACCAAATGTGAGTAATTAACATAGTGGCACTGCAGAAGAGGAAGACATAGAGAGGTACAGGGGAGATACAGACAACAAAGATGAACCCTTTTGCACATACAGTACTGCATTGTCAGTGATGGCAAATATTGACCTAGGGTGGACAGATGGGTAGACAGGCTGAATGATCAGGTATGTCTAGGCTAGGGGGAATGTGCCCATGACCATGTATGTATCTACAAGCATATTTTTATGTTCTGTAAGAATGTCCAGGTATACAGCAGAACTGACAAGGGACAAGGTTGTAGTGACCTCTTAGCCACAGCCAGCTACCCACAGGGAGCAAGTAGTTAGACTTGTGGGCTTGGGACCATGGTCCCAGGGGACATCAAGCTCAACTGGTGTTTTACTACACAAAAACATTATTCAACATCCTACTTTGGTGAGTAGTGACTGAGATCTTAAAAGCTTACAAGCAGCCATCTAGATGCAACAATGGGTGTCTCCTCATCTAGACCAAATAAGAATGAAGATAAACCAAAGATGCATTAGTCCAATTAGTCCAAGGGACTGGTACACCATGCGATCCTCTGCCTGTACGAATATGAGACCAGAAGAAATAGATGGTGCCTGGCTACCACTGTCAACCACTCGGAGGGGGATCTATGTAGGGGATCCTGGAAAGAATGGAAGAACAATGTGGAACAAAACTCAAAGTCATTAAAAAAAACAACAAAAAAAAGGACCAAGTTTGCTGGTCTGATAGAGCTTGGTGAAACCCCTGAGGCTATGGTCCCTAGCTGCCCTTCAGGTCTGGTATTGAACCCATTCCTGTGGCTTCCAGCCAAACAAAAAGACAGGCATATGAGCTGAACATTTACATTAGGTAGGTACACTTCTTGGAGATATCAATCATGGGAGAATAGAAGGGCAGGGTATGCACAGGGAGACCCCTTAGGGGGCAGGAGTGCAGGGGAGGGAAGGACCCAAGGAAGAGGTAACTATGGGCAGGAAATGTGAAAAGAGCTGTTACATTTTGGGAAATTTCAGTCAATGTCATGAGACAAAAAGTGTATGAACTGCTGTGTGAAAAATAACTTTGTTCTGTAAACTTTCACCCAAAAATACAATAAAAATTAAAAAAAAAAAAAAAGATATTTTGCTTTAGAGATAAGAAAAAAAAAAAGCTTTGACAAAATAAATAGTTGGAAACTCCAATGTCAGCGGTTATTCCAAATATTTTTATGACAAGTAAATTAATCGAAGCTGGAAGTATAATGATGTTTGAGACTCTGGGTCTAATGTGAGGCAATCTGACAAGGCCCCAGTCCTCTGTGGTGTCCCCATTTGAGGAACAGGCTAGCAAAGTAAGTGCAGAGAGCACTACATAATTGAGATGGAGCACACATCAGGCCAGGCTGAAAAAAAAATACCAAGAGCAGACCACAGCATTACCCTGTGTTTAGTGACTACTCTCCATTCCTGAAAAACTTGTTCAGAATTCAAGGGAAAACACATGAAACACTTGCTGTCCAAAGCAAGTCATGACAAGTCTCATACCTGGGCTCCACACTAAGCCACAAATGTGCTGTCAAGGGCAGGGTGTTAGAAATGTCAGATGAATGTCTCCTCCCTAGAGCTCTTTGTAAATGGAGGCAGACCAGCCAGACCTGAATTCCAAACTGGAGCCAGCACTTGCATTTTTACTAAGTTTCCCAGTTGACCTGACAGTCACAGAGACCAGACTGTGGCTGCTGCCCAGGTGTGGCTATTTCTCAGAAATCTTTCAAACTTTAGCAAATCCAGTGAGTCATCAAAAGATGAATAAGATTTCTCCATCTCCTCCACCAAAGGAAAGGAATTAATCCAAATGACCATGCAGTGTTTGCAAACCCACCTGTGCTGATGAACATCACATCATAGATGGTCTCATCCAGGGCCTGCACCCTGTCCACCACAATCTGGGTGTAATTCACATCCTTCTTAATTAACCTGGGCCTGTTGTCTGTTGGAGTGATGGAGTCATCCATCAGAGGGTGGTCTTTCACGAACTGCAGGGTCTTGTCAGGCAAGTTCAGTGAGCTGGTGAAGTTAGCCGCCCTGGCCTCACTGTTGATGCACTGTGGGAGAAACCACATATCCTAAGCACAGCAAAGGAGCTGTGCACCTGGACTGCCACAAAAGTACATCTCCACACTACCATAGATGCTGGATGCACAACTCAGAAAACACAAAGTGGACCTCTTGAAGAAAGGGGTAGTGACGAAAACCTGACGTGCCCTTTCCTTAGTAATCTGAAGACCTGCTTAAGGTCTTCAGGAAATGCCACTGCTTTTTTTTTTTACCTACAGGATATGATTTTGCTGCTTCACACATACAGGCTTACAAAGGAGATTCATACTTGAGTGAGTCTTTAAGAATGTGTAAGTAAGTCAACAGGTACATAACAGTTCTCATTTAGCCATACATTAGCGCAAGAAGAGGCTTTAAGCGTTTTCAATGACTTAAAAGTTATACATGCAGCATGTGACTGTGATGAAGAATTTGTTGTCAGTAGGGGGTTGGTTGGTTCAATGGTTTCAAAGTGAAGGCAAATTCACATAACATTAAATGGCAAGTACAAGTTGTCCAGAAGTTGGACTTGCATAACCTGGAAACTGCCTGTAATCAAGTAATTTTTTTTTGTTTATAGTTGAAAAAGAACTTAAACTTAAACCTCTTGGAACTGAGAAACATGTAGCATTTTACAGCCATCCTGTGAGAAGAAAATACTCCTTAAACAGCCCAGCCCTCTGTGGTCAATTAAGCTGACCATCTTCCTTCCCAGTAGGGGCCAGTGTGCAATGGCTGAAAACAGTAGCCTCCTTGGAAGTATAGGCAGCCTGCTGGCACGTATGAGCTGCCCTAAAGGATGTTGAAGACAGCCATTTCCTGCTCTTTCATGTCTCAGGCCTCATTAATCTCTGCTGTGCCTAACCTAGGCTCCAGACAGGTATGTGAATGTGAGGTGTCTTTGGAAAATCCCAGGCTACGGTGACCACAGTCCACATTTGCCAAGTCATCATGTCCATCCAAGCTTCAAAACAAGAAGCATGTGATTGAGGCCCTGAGCAGGGTCAAGTTCAAGTTCCTTGGGCAACAGAAGATCTACATCTCCAAGAAGTGGGGCTTTGTCAAGTTTAATGCTGATGAGCTTGAAGACATGGTGGCTGAGAAGTGCCTCATCCCATATGGTTGTGGAGTCACATAAATGCCCAGTCACGGCTCCCAGAACAAGTGGTGGGCCCTGCATTCATGAAGGACTTGGTAGCACTGCCTCCCCTGACCTGTGCCCACCAATAAATTGAACTTCTTCTCTCAAAAAATATAATAAACAAACAAACAAACAAACAGCCCAAGTCTGTGTAGCATGAAAACTCAAGAGCATGAACTTGGTTTTTTCTGTCCTATCTCCCTGGTATATGTAAACCAAAATGCATGACAAGTAAACAAAAAGTATTTTGGAAGAAAACATCACTGTCTTTTCTTCACAGTGTGCATGGATGGAGCGGTGATAGATGGGTGATGACAAACGCTCAGGAGGCCCTAGAAGGACTTCCTGTATGGGAGCTCCAAGGGTGAGGCCACTTTCAGTAGCCCTCCTTGTGGCTACAACACTGCCTGACAAACTTACTCATTACTGGTAGGAAAATTAATGGCTGTGTCAGAACCAGTCTGTGGATCCTCATTAATTTCTATATAAAACTAATGATTTTTAGGAGAAAAAAATGTGATTCACTGATGACCAGACAGTTTTGCTCATCAGAGCACTGAGGCCTTTACCAAGAACTCAAGTGTTTCCTTGCAGAAAAGTGAAAATGAAGTATGTCAAATTTTATTGTACTAAGTATTTTACAAACATTCCTACACCAGCTAGAGCAGGCTTCTTATGTGTGCATAGTATAGCCAGAGCTGTTGCACAACATGCAGATTAAAAGGAAGCAAGAGAAGAATGAGCTCATTGGCCTTTCCCAGGCACAAGGCGGCCCTGTATCTTTGGGGACAGCTTCCAATTGCCCGAGTAGTGAAAGGAGGCCCCGTGTAGCCAGGTCAATTGAAGCTGCAAGAGGCACTCACTCCTGCTGTTCTGTAAGGTCCTGTGCTGGAAGGACACCCCACTCTTCCACTCACCGCTCCAGGCCGTGGCTTGGGCACTGCCCCATTATAGCGCACCCACTTGGTATGTGACTGCTCCACCATGGTGCTCTGCATGTATTTCCCACGGGAGAAGACCTCTTCCACTGTGGACAGGTTGTAGGCACACACCGCTGACAGCCCCACGTTGTTCCTACACAGGAGAGAGGTGTAACTGCCAGCCACCGAGACAGCAACCCTGGGACAGACCCTGCCTGGAGCACTCACAGCTGTGGGGTGAAGACGGCATAGAACACGGGCTCCTTCAGCCACGGGCCCCGGAGAATAAACACATCCTGCAGCATGTTGAAGACGAGGTTGCTATCTGGTTTGGAGCAGATCAAGCGAGCCTTCAGGAAAGAGGTCCACTTCTTCTGTAATGTCCTCAGTCCGCCCTGGTCCCCCTGAAATGCCAAAGACACATGTGGAAGAGAGAACACCCACCTTCCTCACCAGCAGGTAAGACCATGCCAGGCCTAGCTCCCACTCATGCCACCAGGCTGAGGGGCTTCTTAGGCCCTAAGTGTTTTGCCCAAGTGAAATGAGGCAAAGGCTAAAGAACCTAGGCAGCAGACCATTCTGACTCACAGTCCACTGTCAGCATGGGTGATGGACATGCCCCCTTCATTAAAAAGCTAAATCAAACCAAACCAACTAAAAACCCATCCAGTTATAGCTTAAACAACAATATTCAATTCTGCCCCAAACACTCATTTCCCAATAGTGAAGATGTACTTTTCTTACAAACATTTCACTTCTCTGGCCCTTTGTCTGTGTCCACAGACCCATAGTCACATGCACTCCTCATCCCATGCAGACAGCATATGGGGCTGCAATCTGTCTGTGAGCAAACCTGTATGCAGTTTTGATCTCCCCAAAAGAACATTCCTCTTTGAGAGATTCTATCCTTTACTTCCTTTCTACTCCTGAAATGATCTGCCCAAGTGCTTTGGACTTATTAAGTGCTTCATAAACACTTTTTAGTGACCTGAAAATCAAGAGAAAAATATAAAACCTGGATCATCAGGGGAGCTCTGGTGGCACAGTGGTTAAGGCATTCAGATGCTAACTAAAAGGTGGGTGGTTCAAACCCACCAGCCACCCCATGGGAGAAAGCTAGGTAGTCTGCTTCTGTAAAGATTTACAGCCTTGGAAAACCTATGCGGCAGTTCCACCGACTAAAGGCTGCTACGAGTTGGAATCAACTTGATGGCAGTGGGTTTTTTCATATCATTTTGTGCACAATGGTGGTTTGGTGGTAGAACTCTTGCCTTTCATGTGGGAAACCCAGGTTTGATTCCTGACCAACACTACCCATCTGTCAGTGGAAGCTTTTGTGTTGCTACTATGATAAACAGGTTTCAACAGAGCTTCCAGACTAAGACAGACTAAGAAGAAAGGCTTGATCAACTTCAGAAAGTCAGCTAATGAAAACCCTATGGGTCATACAACGGTCTACTCCTCTACGCATGGGGTTAGGCATGGGTTTGCTGTGAACTGGCCCCTGACTCAACAACAGCAGTTAAAAACAATATATCACTTTACTTGATCTGGAGAGGAATACTGAAAAGATGAACTTTGAATGCAGAAGATTTCTTTATTTTACACGAAATGAAAACCCATCCCTCCCCACCTGATTCTGTGATCACAGAAAGCTGAGTTCCTTTTTTCTTTTTTTAATAAAAGAACTTTATTTTTTTTTCCTTTATGTTTTACCAAAAGGTAATTTCCAGCATGTCTGTGGTCATTCATTTCACCTGGTTCCCAGGCTAGGTGAGACGCAGCCTGCTGTTTGCATGCAGACTCTGCAAGTCTGAGCAGGAAGTGGGTACCTGGGGTGTGCAAGGCAAGAAGGTGCTCCTACTCCCCTAAATCCAGTTAGAGGAATTATGGAAAATTAAAAGAGACACTTTGAAAGACCCTAACGGCTTCTATTTGTGTGTGTGTGTGTGTGTGTGTGTGTACATGGAGGACTCTAAATCTGTCTGAAAATTCCTGAAACCCTGTGCATCCAGGTGTTCGGTACAAGGTAACAAACCACAAGGTGAGTGACAAGATGACTCAGATGGCTCACATGGCTGGTCACATGGCTGACAGGGCAGGAAGACCCTCTGGGCCTCCTGGATGTTCTGTTCTGAGGCCCTGTGGCAAACACTCAGGAGCACCACCAGCCCTATACTCTTCTCACCTTCATGCCAGCTGATAGCCTGCGCATGGTGTGACTATGCCAAGATGGTCTTGTCTGAAAAATGGGAGCACAGCAGCTGCTGGAGGCAGCTGTAGGATTCAGGTATATATCCTGGATTTCTATCCAGGTGGTGGCAAAGCAATAGATATGCAGGTATTTAGAGAGCCTATGTGTTTTTTATGCTGTCTGTCATTAAGGAAGGGACATCAAAAGCACCTACTTAGTATATTCCAGCCATAAAATAATGGCTTCTGTGATGACTGAATATTTAGATGGTTACCACTAAAATAAGAAGGACTATAGATGATGAGGTTTCAGTGGAGCTTTCAGACTAAGACAGATTATGAAGACAGGACATCTATCTACTTCTTAAAAACAGCCAATGAAAACCTGATGGGTCACTGTGGGACACAAACTGCAACCAATCATAGGGATGGCTCAGGAGTGAGCAACATTTCATTCATTCCGTGGTACATAGGGTCACCATGAGTCAGGGGCCAACACAAGGGCCATTAACAACTGTATGTCTACAGCTTTCAATTTGGGGGAACATATGGAGTTTCCCCAACCTGAGTAGCTGGTCAGCAGCATTCACAGTCAGCAGCATTCACACTCAGCACAGCTGCCACTTGTGTTTTGTGTAGTTTCTGATAGTTACCTAAGCTTGGCCCTTCAGTTTGCCTCCCAGAAACTGCCTACAATCAACCTAACAATGCATGTCTGTTGTGCATCCAGCACCATGCCTACCATTCAGAATTGTAAAAGCTTTCTCTTTCTCCCAATATGTACTTCAAGCTTCCCTTAATACGTCTTAATAAACATCTTAGTAACAGTCATTCTAAAGTTCTTGCTTCTTAACCTTAAGCCATCAATTAATGATTTACTTCTAAGCTGATTAAAATAATCAAAAGGTGAAACTCTAATTCCAATCTGATTTGGTTAATATAGTGAATGAACACTAGCTTTTTATAACCTGGGGGAGGTTTGAGGAAGATGTGACCAAAAATGAGTCTCCTCAACGTAAGGATTCTAGGTATACTACAATGGGTGTGAATATGTCATTGGCCTCCAGGTACATAATGAGAGCTACAACAAAACTAACCTTCCATACATGACAGGCCCTCCATCAACACTCAGATTTTTGCATAAAAGACTAAGTATACTGACATTCCAGGTGAAGTTTAAAGTCTATTAGAAGTGACTAATTTTCAGATATCCCATCCCACAGGCAAGGAGAAAACAAAAATGAAGACCGAACAGAATCCCACCTTGCACACTCTTGCTATCCTTGGGATCATCAGCTTGAAAACAAACTCATACTCCACAGATACCTCCATGAAGAAGAAGTACACTTTGTCATCCTCACCCTCTGTGTCATTGAGGTTTCTTCTTATCACATCTGCGAAGATGAAGCTGGGCTCTGCAGAAAGGAGATAGCCATAAATTCTTGGCACACATTGAGCTGTGTTACTGCCCAGCATAGCCATGCAAGCTGCTGGTCCTCAATCCCATGTTCATAGATTGGTAGCCTAAATATTCATAAAATGTCAATGCCACCCAAAGTGCTCTACAGATTCAATGCAATCCCTATTGAAAAAATCCCAACAGACTTTGCAGAAATGGGAAAGCCAATCCTCAAATTCATAGGGAATCACAAGGGGCCCCCACCAAAAGCCAAAACTCAAAAGAACAATGTAGGAGGACTCTTATGTCCCAATTTCAAAATTTACTATACCAAAAACAAACCAAATCCACTGCCATCGAGTTGATTCCAACTCATAGAGACATCCATTGGGTTTACAAGGCAGTAAATCTTTATGGAAGTAGATTGCCCAGTCTTGCTTCCATGGAGTGGCTGGTGGGTTTGAACCACCAACCTCCTGGTTAGCAGTCAGATGCCTTAGGCACTGTGCTACCAGAGCTCCTAAATGTACTATAAAGGTACATTATTCAAAATAGTATGTATTAGTGTAAGGAGACAGACACATATAGACCAATGAAATATCACCAGGCCAGAAGGTTCTCCTTAAGGGGGGGCTTTTGGGCATATTTAGGGGTACAAAGGTCACACTTCTGACCCCAGCATGCAGGAAGGATGACAGTGCTGAGCCGTATGTATGTCCAGCCTGTCCTCCTCAGCATCAGAAGTGCCCCATGCTAGGTCCGTCCTGGAGAAGCCAGTCTGGGTCTCCTAATCGCCAGGCTTGGGACCCCAGGGAGCCAGATCCACCATCCTTAGACTCTTATGTGTGAAATATGAATTTTCTAGTTTAAAACAAAACCCAAACCAAAAAGTCCAGGCACCCAGCAGCTCTGGCTCCTTGGCTGCTCCATGCCGAAGACTGGCCAGCTATCTCTCAATCACTGGCCATGGCATCTGCCCCCAGACCACCCCACCTCTGGAGAGCCTAGGCAGCCTCATAACTAAGGACCTCACTGGCTAGCACACGCAAGAAAAGTCCCAATTGAGCCGCCTCGAGCCATCTGTACCTGGAAATGAGACTCCACACACATGCTGTCTAGAGGCAATTAATAATCAAGATCTTATCTGATGGGGCATTTCAAGGTTGTCTACAGAGGCTGACGGCAATCTGCATCTACTCTGCACTTCAATATCACCGTGGAAATTGTGCATACCAATCTGACTCATCTGAGTAAGTCTTACCATCACAGCCTCACTGTTAATAAAGCCTCCCAAATCAATTTTCAAGGGAATAAAACACACACATGGCCTTGAACTCTGGGTCATGCAGTCCTAAGCAGTGACAGACACATCCCCAAGGCACCCAGGACCTCCCACCTGGTCCTCTGAATGAACCAGTGCCTCTATAGACTCCCAGCCTGCACCTATAGTCTCATGGGTAGTTCCTTACAATCAGCTGAGAAAAACAGAACTTGGGCCTGGTTTAGATGGTTCTTGTGATGTGTAGGCACTACTCCCAAGTGGACAGCTACAGCACTGCAGCCCCTTTCTGGACTTCCTTGAAGGACCAAGAAGGGAAATTCTCCCAGTAGTCAGAACTTTAAGGAGTGCACCTGGTTGTTCATTTTGCTTAGAAGGAGAAATGCCCAGATGTACATTTATATACTGACTCACGGGCTGTGGCCAATGGTTTGGCTGGCTGGCTGGTCAAAGATGTGAAAAGAACATGATTGGAAAACTGGTGAAAGGAATATGGGGAAGAGATATGTGGACTGACCTCTCTGAATGGGCCAAAGAAGTGAAGATATTTGTGTTTCATGTGAATGTTCACCAAAGAATGGCTTTGCATTTTAATAATCAAGTGGATAGAATGATGCTTTCTGTGAGAACCTGTCAGCCTTTTCCATAGTCACTCCTATCATCCCAATGGGCTCATGAATACAGTAGCCGTGGTGGCAGGGATAAAGGTTTACATGGGCTCAGCAACACAGACTCCCACTGATGCTGACTGCTGAATGCACCAGCAGCCAAGATCAACACTGAGTCCCTGATGCTCTGAGCTGCAGACCACACCCTCACAGCTAGCAAAGGGAGACATAAATTGGTGTACTTCTGTTGGCAAAGAAGTAACCATGCATAGAAATGCATCTTCAGTGAATAGTTTCTGGTCCTTACCATTAAGCCAAGGTATTGCATACTCTGTTCTCAGGGGACTTTGGGAAGAATGGCGGGAGATGATGGGTTCACTTCCCAGAAAGTTATATGATGTCCCAGAATAAAGCTCTCCATCTTCAGTGGCCCGGAAGGAAAGAGGAAAAGTGAATAAGCATTTCAGGCTCTGATGCCAATACAGGGGATAACACACTCAACACATTTTCCCCTATAACCTCAAATAAACTCCTCCTGGAGACACAAGAGACTATGTCCCTAACTTCTGGAATGTACATTTTTGTTTCCTCTTGACTCTGTTTCTTCTCTTTGATGTGGATACTGTGCTGTATTTTATAATTTTAAGGGACAACCATTAAACACAAACAAGAAGTTCCAGCATCCAGTAAAATAATTGTAAACATGATAGTGGGAGCAAATGGAGTCATGGCTCATTCTCCTGGATCCTCAAGCCCTTCTTAGCAAAATGTGGCTCAACTATAAACCTTCCTCTTGAGCAGGAATATTTACTCAACATGAATGGACTCATGGGACCTGCACAAACAAGGAGTATAAAATAATGTTTCCCTACAAATTTAGTTCTGGACCATGATGGCAGATGGCTAACCTTCTGAACAACTAATACAAAAATTCTTGCTAAATCAGAGTACATGTACAGTTGGCATCCCTGGGTGGTGCAAGGAGTTAACATGCTCAACTTCTAACCAAAAGATTTGAGATTCAAGTGTATCCAGACGTGACTTGAAGAAAGGCCTAGTGACCTGCTTTTGCAAAATCAGCCACTGAAATCCCCAGGGTGTACTGTTCTACTCTGACACACACAAGGTCATCATGAGTTGGAGTTAACTCAATGGCAACTAGTATATGTAATCATATGTACTCTCTGAAAGGAGGGCTGATATTAAAACAAAGCACAGAAAGAGAGTAATGATAAGCAAAGAGAAACTGGATGCACTGTTTTGTATACTTAACATGACATCATACTCTTCATCTTCAGTGATGAAAGGCATGAGAGGCAGGACTCACCAACCATGATAGATGTATAGCTCTGTGCTGGGTCAAAGGGACACCTTCCTTTGCCATCTTCATTCTTCCCCAGAAACTGAAAGGATGTTAAGCTCTACAGTAAACATTAAACAAAAAGAAAGTGTATCACATTTCTGAAGTCATATAGTAATAACACATCTTTATACCATTTAATCTTATAGACTTGCTATTCCTGGAAGACCAAGGGAAAGAGCAAATGTGTGACAATCCATGAGTCCCACCCTCCAGAGCTGCACCCAGTGTTGCTCTGCTCAGGTTTAGATGGAAGCTCCTCTGTGTACCTGCCCTGACACAATGACCAAGTTATGCACAATCTCAGAGCCTCGGTTTACTCATCTGTAGAACGGGGAATGAATGATGATGCTATCAGGCAAACCAGAAATGGGAAGCACTCAAGTCAGTGATAGGAAGCCCATGTGTAGAATATGAAGATTAAAGCAGTGGGGGAAACCTGAATATATAATAAAGAGGTAACAGAAAAAAACAAAACAAAAACTAAAAGAAACTGAGTTCCTACTTATTTCACCGTCGAAACACATTACAGATGTATCAATGACGTGAGTATTAACAAGGAAACCATGCTGCACTGAAGAAAAGTGCAACAAGCGTTTGAATCTTGACATAATCTTTCTTAACCTGAAAAGAAAGCCCAAAACCATATGAGGAAAAAACGGATAGATCCAGTGACATAAAAACTGGAAAGCTCCCTGTATAGAAAAAATGAGACAAAGTTCAATGTCAAGTGACAAATGGGGAAAATGCTTGCAAAACGACAAGTGAGATATTTGCATCCCTTAATGCATAATGCATATATCTATAAACAAGCTGTACAAAAAAGAAAGAAAGAAAAATCCAGGAAAAAAACAATCAAGGGCAGTAAGCTGCAAAAGAAAAAATCCATGCGGATACCACAGGCAGAAGGAGATGGGTAAACCTCCTGGAAACCCAAGGACATGAAGGGCGGAGACAAAAGTGGAAATGTCATTTTCCACCTAACAGCTAGGAGCTCTGGTAGCATAGTGGCTAAAGCACTTGACTGCTAACCAGAAGGCTGGCAGTTCAAACCCACCAGCCACTCCTCGGAAGGAAGGT